CCCTATGACAAAAAATGGAACACACCACAGTGTGAGGAGACCTGAAAGTGGCACATGGCAGAGTGTGGCGATGGAGACAGCAGCAATGGAGGCCGTACAGGGACCCATGAGACACTGTGGACCTGGCAGCAGCATGAGGAGGCGGTACAGGGGCCCATGGCAGATTAGGGGCCTGGCAGCAGCTATGGGAGGCCCGTAATCTGCCAGCACCCTATGACAAAAAATGGAACACACCAGCAGTGTGTGAGGAGACCTGAAAGTGGCACATGGCAGAGTGTGGCGATGGAACAGGGACCCATGAGAGACTCTGGACCTGGCAGCAGCATGAGGAGGCGGTACAGGGGCCCATGGCAGATTAGGGGCCTGGCAGCAGCTATGGGAGGCCCGTAATCTGCCAGCACCCTATGACAAAAAATTGAACACACCAGCAGTGTGAGGAGACCTGAAAGTGGCACATGGCAGAGTGTGGCGATGGAGACAGCAGCATGGGAGGGCCGTACAGGGACCCATGAGAGACTCTGGACCTGGCAGCAGCATGAGATTAGGGGCCCATGGCAGATTAGGGGCCTGGCAGCAGCTATGGGAGGCCCGTAATCTGCCAGCACCCTATGACAAAAAATTGAACACACCAGCAGTGTGTGAGGAGACCTGAAAGTGGCACATGGCAGAGTGTGGCGATGGAGACAGCAGCAATGGGAGGCCGTACAGGGACCCATGAGAGACTCTGGACCTGGCAGCAGCATGAGGAGGCGGTACAGGGGCCCATGGCAGATTAGGGGCCTGGCAGCAGCAAGGAGGCCCGTAATCTGCCAGCACCCTATGTCAAAAAATCTGGAACACCAGCAGTGTGAGGAGACCTGAAAGTGGCACATGGCAGAGACACTGTGGGCCTGGCAGCAGCAATGGGAGGCCCGTAACAGCCAGCCCATAGAGATTAGGGCCTGGCAGCAGCAGTGTGAGGCCCTAAGTGGACATGCAGCAGTGGGCGATGGAACACACAGCAGCATGGAGGAGACCGTGGCACAGTGGACCCATGTGGCGATGGAGACAGCAGCAATGGGGAGGCCGTACAGGGACCCATGAGAGACTCTGGACCTGGCAGCAGCATGAGGAGGCGGTACAGGGGCCCATGGCAGATTAGGGGCCTGGCAGCAGCTATGGGAGGCCCGTAATCTGCCAGCACCCTATGACAAAAAAAATGGAACACACCAGCAGTGTGTGAGGAGACCTGAAAGTGGCACATGGCAGAGTGTGGCGATGGAGACAGCAGCAATGGGAGGCCGTACAGGGACCCATGAGAGACTCTGGACCTGGCAGCAGCATGAGGAGGCGGTATAGGGGCCCATGGCAGATTAGGGGCCTGGCAGCAGCTATGGGAGGCCCCTAATCTGCCAGCACCCTATGTCAAAAAAATGAAACCACAGCAGTGTGAGGAGACCTGAAAGTGGCACATGGCAGAGTGGCGATGGAGACAGCAGACAATGGAGGCCGTACAGGGACCCATGAGACACTGTGGACCTGGCAGCAGCATGAGGAGGCGGTACAGGGGCCCATGGCAGATTAGGGGCCTGGCAGCAGCTATGGGAGGCCCGTAATCTGCCAGCACCCTATGACAAAAAATGGAACACACCAGCATGTGAGGAGACCTGAAAGTGGGCACATGGCAGAGTGTGGCGATGAGACACTGTGGACCCCTGACTCTGGACCTGGCAGCAGCATGAGGAGGCGGTACAGGGGCCCATGGCAGATTAGGGGCCTGGCAGCAGCTATGGGAGGCCCGTAATCTGCCAGCACCCTATGACAAAAAATGGAACACACCAGCAGTGTGGAGAGACCTGAAAGTGGCACATGGCAGAGTGTGGCGATGGAGACAGCAGCAATGGGAGGCCGTACAGGACCCATGAGAGACTCTGGACCTGGCAGCAGCATGAGGAGGTATAGGGGCCCATGGCAGATTAGGGGCCTGGCAGCAGCTATGGGAGGCCCGTAATCTGCCAGCACCCTATGACAAAAAATGGAACACACCAGCAGTGTGAGGAGACCTGAAAGTGGCACATGGCATGAGTGTGGCGATGGGACCAGCAATGGGAGCAGTACAGGGACCCATGAGAGACTCTGGACCTGGCAGCAGCATGAGGCGCGGTACAGGGGCCCATGGCAGATTAGGGGCCTGGCAGCAGCTATGGGAGGCCCGTAATCTGCCAGCACCCTATGACAAAAAATTGAACACACCAGCAGTGTGTGAGGAGACCTGAAAGTGGCACATGGCAGAGTGTGGCGATGGAGACAGCAGCAATGGGAGGCCGTACAGGGACCCATGAGAGACTCTGGACCTGGCAGCAGCATGAGGAGGGCGGTACAGGGGCCCATGGCAGATTAGGGGCCTGGCAGCAGCTATGGGAGGCCCGTAATCTGCCAGCACCCTATGACAAAAAATTGAACACACCAGCAGTGTGAGGAGACCTGAAAGTGGCACATGGCAGATGATGGAGACAGCAGCAATGGGACCTACAGGGACCCACTCTGGCAGCAGCATGAGGAGGCGGTACAGGGGCCCATGGCAGATTAGGGGCCTGGCAGCAGCTATGGGAGGCCCGTAATCTGCCAGCACCCTATGACAAAAAATGGAACACACCAGCAGTGTGAGGAGACCTGAAAGTGTGGCACATGGCAGAGTGTGGCGATGGAGACAGCAGCAATGGGAGGCCGTACAGGGACCCATGAGAGAGACTCTGGACCTGGCAGCAGCATGAGGAGGCGGTACAGGGGCCCATGGCAGATTAGGGGCCTGGCAGCAGCTATGGGAGGCCCGTAATCTGCCAGCACCCTATGACAAAAAATGGAACACACCACCAGCAGTGTGAGGAGACCTGAAAGTGGCACATGGCAGTGTGGCATGAGACAGCACAATGTGAGACCGTGGACCCATGGCAGACTCTGGACCTGGCAGCAGCATGAGGAGGCGGTACAGGGGCCCATGGCAGATTAGGGGCCTGGCAGCAGCTATGGGAGGCCCGTAATCTGCCAGCACCCTATGACAAAAAATGGAACACACCACCAGCAGTGTGAGGAGACCTGAAAGTGGCACATGGCAGAGTGTGGCGATGGAGACAGCAGCAATGGGAGGCCGTACAGGGACCCATGAGAGACTCTGGACCTGGCAGCAGCATGAGGAGGCGGTACAGGGGCCCATGGCAGATTAGGGGCCTGGCAGCAGCTATGGGAGGCCCGTAATCTGCCAGCACCCTATGACAAAAAATTGAACACACCAGCAGTGTGAGGAGACCTGAAAGTGGCACATGGCAGAGTGTGGCGATGGAGACAGCAGCAATGGGAGGCCGTACAGGGACCCATGAGAGACTCTGGACCTGGCAGCAGCATGAGGAGGCGGTACAGGGGCCCATGGCAGATTAGGGGCCTGGCAGCAGCTATGGGAGGCCCGTAATCTGCCAGCACCCTATGACAAAAAATGGAACACACCAGCAGTGTGAGGAGACCTGAAAGTGGCACATGGCATGACGATGGAGACACTGTGGACCTGGCAGCAGACTCTGGATGCAGCAGAGGAGGCGGTACAGGGGGCCCATGGCAGATTAGGGGCCTGGCAGCAGCTATGGGAGGCCCGTAATCTGCCCAGCACCCTATGACAAAAAATGGAACACACCAGCAGTGTGTGAGGAGACCTGAAAGTGGCACATGCAGAGTGTGGCGATGGAGACAGCAGCAATGGGAGGCCGTACAGGGACCCATGAGAGACTCTGGACCTGGCAGCATGAGGAGGCGGTACAGGGGCCCATGGCAGATTAGGGGCCTGGCAGCAGCTAATGGGAGGCCCGTAATCTGCCAGCACCCTATGACAAAAAATGGAACACACCAGCAGTGTGTGAGGAGACCTGAAAGTGGCACATGGCAGAGTGTGGCGATGGAGACAGCAGCAATGGGAGGCCGTACAGGGACCCATGAGAGACTCTGGACCTGGCAGCAGCATGAGGAGGCGGTACAGGGGCCCATGGCAGATTAGGGGCCTGGCAGCAGCTATGGGAGGCCCGTAATCTGCCAGCACCCTATGTCAAAAAAATTGAACACACCAGCAGTGTGTGAGGAGACCTGAAAGTGGCACATGGCAGAGTGTGGCCTGGAGCAGCAGCAAGGAGGCCGTACAGGGGCCCATGCAGATTAGGGGCCTGGCAGCAGCATGAGGAGGCCCGTAATCTGCCAGCACCCATGGCAAAAAATGGAACCTGGCAGCAGCTATGAGGAGGCCCGTAATCTGCCAGCACCCTATGACAAAAAAATGAACACACCAGCATGTGTGAGGAGCACCTGAAAGTGGCACATGGCAGAGTGTGGCGATGGAGACAGCAGCAATGGGGCCGTACAGGGACCCATGAGACTCTGGACCTGGCAGCAGCATGAGGAGGCGGTACAGGGGCCCATGGCAGATTAGGGGCCTGGCAGCAGCTATGGGAGGCCCGTAATCTGCCAGCACCCTATGACAAAAAATGGAACACACCAGCAGTGTGTGAGGAGACCTGAAAGTGGCACATGGCAGAGTGTGGCGATGGAGACAGCAGCAATGGGAGGCCGTACAGGGACCCATGAGAGACCTGGACCTGGCAGCAGCATGAGGAGGCGGTACAGGGGCCCATGGCAGATTAGGGGCCTGGCAGCAGCTATGGGAGGCCCGTAATCTGCCAGCACCCTATGACAAAAAATGGAACACACCAGCAGTGTGAGGAGACCTGAAAGTGGCACATGTTTGGGGCATGATTCATGGCGGATTTAGTCAGTTGTGTCAGGAACTGGTGGTTTGAAATCCAGACTAATCCACGCCTGATTCATTTTCACAAACGTGAGTCTCTCCACACTTTGGTGGACAGTCGTGTCCTCCGCGGAGTTACAATACCTCCTGCCGCACTAAAAACACGCGCTCCGATGCCACGCTACTGGCCGGGCATGACAGCCTTTCAAGGGCAAATTCAGCTAGTTGGGGCCAAAGGTCAAGTTTCGTTGCCCCAGTAGTCAAGGGGATTGTCTACCTCGGTTGGCAGGGTGCTGTCCAAGTAGGCCCAAGCCTGTTGTTTGAGGTCCTGCTCCAGGTCCACCTGATGCTGCTGCTGCTGCGGCTGGTTAGTAGTTTCCTCACTGCGCTGGTGAAGAAAGCTACTCATCATCGACTGCAGACTGAGGCAGCCGCTGCTGGTGGAGCTGCCACTGCTCCTACCACCCCACCCCTCCCCTGCTGCCATGGCAGCGGAACGCGAGCGCACAGGGCCCACAGTGTCTGAGGATGGACGTTGGCGCACAAAGGCAGAGACCAACTGACTACATAGGTGGTTTTTATAGTACGTTATTTTGGCCTCCCTCTCAGCAGGTGTGAAAAAGGCCACCATTTTTGAACGGTAGCGAGGGTCCAACAAGGTGGACAGCCAAAAGTCATCCCTCTGTCTGATGGTTATTATTCGGCTGTCGCTACGCAAGCAACCGAGCATGCTATGGGCCATTTGTGCCAAGGAATGCGAGGGACTCCCTGCCTCCATCTCCACAGCATACTGCCACGGTGTGCGTCTGGGTCCTCTGTCTCCTCCCTCCTCCTCCTCTACCAGATGCTCCTGCTCCTCCACTCCTGTCCGCTGAGTGGAAAAACCACCCATTTCACTCAATAATTCCTGAGCACAAATGTCCTCCTCTACCTCCTCCTCTTCTTCCTGTCCTGCCCCCACAGGGGTCATGTGGCGTTGAGATCTGTGCGCCACGTCTACCGCACCCTGACCAGCCATTGTTAACAGCATTTGTTCCAGGACGTGCAACAGAGGAATGACGTCGTTCATCCCATAGTCCCTGCCGACTCACGAATAGCGTGGCCTCCTCAAAGGGCCTGAGCAAGCGGCAGGTGTCACGCATGAGCTGCCAATGGCTGACATCGAAGTTACACAGGGGAGTACCTTTATCCGCTTGTAACATCAGGAAATCGGTGATGGCCTTTCGCTGTTCGTAAAGGCGGTCTAACATGTGTAGGGTTGAATTCCACCTTGTTGCAACGTCGCAGATCAGGCGATGCTGTGGAATTCCGTTCTGCTGCCGCTGCAGCTCAAGGAGGGTGTGCTTTGCGGTGTAGGAATGGCTGAAATGCATGCAAAGTTTACGTGACATTTTAAGGATGTCTTGCAGTGGGATGGTGGATTTTAGGAACCGCTTGACAACCAGATTGAACACGTGAGCCATGCATGGCGCATGGCACAACCTTCCTTGACGCAGAGCAGACACCATGTTCTTTCCGTTGTCGGTCAACATGGTTCCGATTTTCAGTTTGCGCGGAGACAGCCATCTGTCGATTTCTCTGTTCATTACACTGAGAAGTTCCTCCCCTGTGTGACTACGTTCGCCAAGGCATACCAGGTGCAGCACAGCGTGACACCGTTGCGCCCTGCACATGTGATATGCCGGTCGGGTAATGGGACTTGGCACGGGGGTGGCGGCTGAGGACACGGCGGAAGAAGAGGTGGTAGAGGCGGACATCTTTTGTGGACCAAGGACGTGCAAACGTGGAGGCAAAAGCGGCGTGACCTGTCCAAGTTGCTGGTGCGGCTGTGTGACGGCACCACGTTCACACCCAGTGGGCCGTAAATGACATGTACTGTCCCTGACCGTAGTTACAGCTCCACACGTCGGCGCTGCCGTGCACTTTGGCAGAGACCGACATGCTCAAAGACTGGCCCACCATCTCTTCTACATGTGAATGCAGGGCTGGCACTGCCCTTTTTGGCGAAGAAATGACGGCTTGGCACTCTCCACCCGCGGCGCGGCACAAGCCATCATTTCTCGGAAAGGTGCTGAGTCCACCACTTGGAAAGGGAGGGACTGCAGCACCAGCAACTTGGACAGGAGGAGGACGTTCAGCTTTTTTGCACCGTCGGGTGCGTGCTCGCAAACTGTTGTGTCTCTTGGAAACGGATTCCAAGAAAGACTGCTGACGGAATCCGTGAAGAGAGGAGTAGCAGGAGAAGGAGCATCTGAACGAGCGGAAGATGCCAACGAGCGACAACTCCCCTCAGCAGCAGAGGTGTTGGAGCCTTGACTGGCTGATAGAGGGCGATTGACGTCGGGTGACGGAGCAAGTAACGGAGCGGGTGATGGAGCGGGTGGGGCTGGGGCAGGCAGCAAACCGCCGTATCTTTTATCACGGTTTTCCCAGGCCACCAAAATGGCGACGCTGCATATGCTGCCGCAACGCTGTAGTCCCAACATGGGCCCCCTGCCCACGCTTTGACTTTCTGGCCACATAGTCGACATATACGGCTACGTTTACTTCCTCGCACCGGCGGCTTGACAAAAAATTGCCACACACACCGCCGAGTAGGAAACTTTGCCCCCGATACTCCTCACTGGCTGACTGCTGCTCTTCCTCCGTGCACACCGGCACCACTACTGGCCGTGGTGGTAGGCTGCAGTGGAGAGGTGCTCTACTCCGTGGCCGTTTGCCTCCACTGACACTGCTGCGACCCTGCTGCTGCCTCCTGGGCAACCCACCGACTGTTTTTGCTCGCTGCAAGCTGCCACCCTCTTCTCCTGATGATGCGGAAGCAATAGCCTGATGACGACGAGGCTGCTGCCAAGTGCGATCAGCCTCATCATCATCAATTAGGGTCTCCGCCTCACTACTAGCCCCCTCGGCTGCGTGTGGGTCAGGAGACAGACCTGTCTCTAGACCGGCTACCGAGCCACTCTCCTCCACGCCACTACTTCTTCGCCTGCCTGCTGCTGAAGAGGCGGATGTCTCCCCCCGTTCCTGACCGCCCTCTGTTAGCTCTTCCTCACTGTACAGTGGGGCTGAGCCCACAGCATGCGATACTTCGCTTGGTGAGGGAACACCAAAGGACAGGGGCAGGTAGAGGACACGTGATTTCAGTGGGCTTGCTCCCGGGCCATGCCAACTAACGGTTGTGTCTGACGTACCCACCGACCGTGGCTGTAGGTGTCAGAGGTGACCTGGGAAGAGGAAGACGACCGAGCCAACCAATCGATGACGGCAGGGTTGTCGGTGGAGACACACGACGCTGGATGACACCCGGGAGCACTGGCCTCTGGCTGCGAATAGTGCTGCCTCGACCCCTTCCTCTGCTGCCACGTCTGCTCTGCTCGCTCCTAAAACATTGCCTCCTCTGCCACTCCTCTGCATGTTGTCTGACATACTCTTTAATTAAACGATTCTGTGTCCCTGAGTAACAATTCTGTGTCTGTCCCTGAGTAACAATTCTGTGTCCCTGAGTAACGTTTCTGTGGCCCTAAGTAACAGTTCTGTGGCCCTCAGTAACAATTCTGTGTCCCTCAGTAACAATTCTGTGTCCCTCAGTAACAATTCTGTGTCCCTCAGTAACAATTCTGTGTGTGTCCCTGAGTAACAATTCTGTGTCCCTGAGTAACAATTCTGTGTCCCTGAGTAACAATTCTGTGGCCCTAAGTAACAATTCTGTGCCCTCAGTAACAATTCTGTGTCCCTCAGTAACAATTCTGTGTCTGTCCCTGAGTAACAATTCTGTGTCCCTGAGTAACAATTCTGTGTCCCTCAGTAACAATTCTGTGTCCCCTCAGTAACAATTCTGTGTCCCTCAGTAACAATTCTGTGTCCCTGAGTAACAATTCTGTGTCCCTGAGTAACAATTCTGTGTCCCTGAGTAACAATTCTGTGGCCCTAAGTAACAATTCTGTGGCCCTCAGTAACAATTCTGTGTCCCTCAGTAACAATTCTGTGTCCCTGAGTAACAATTCTGTGTGTCCCTGAGTAACAATTCTGTGTCCCTCAGTAACAATTCTGTGTCCCTCAGTAACAATTCTGTGTCCCTGAGTAACAATTCTGTGTCCCTCAGTAACAATTCTGTGTCCCTCAGTAACAATTCTGTGTCCCTGAGTAACAATTCTGTGTGTCCCTGAGTAACAATTCTGTGTGTCCCTGAGTAACAATTCTGTGTCCCCTAAGTAACAATTCTGTGGCCCTAAGTAACAATTCTGTGTCCCCTAAGTAACAATTCTGTGTCCCCTCAAAACAATTCTGTGTCCCTCAGTAACAATTTCTGTGTCCCTGAGTAACAATTCTGTGTCCCTAAGTAACAATTCTGTGTCCTAAGTAATTCTGTGGCCCTCAGTAACGATTCTAACAGTAACAATTTGTGTCCCTCAGTAACAATTCTGTGTGGCTGTCCCTAAGTAACAATTCTGTGGCCCTAAGTAACGTTTCTGTGGCCCTAAGTAACAATTCTTTCTGTGTCCCTAAGTAACAATTCTGTGTCCCTCAGTAACAATTCTGTGTCCCTCAGTAACAATTCTGTGTCTGTCCCTAAGTAACAATTCTGTGCCCTGAGTAACAATTCTGTGTCTGTCCCTAAGTAAACGTTTCTGTGTCCCTAAGTAACGATTCTGTGGCCCTAAGTAACAATTCTGTGGCCCTAAGTAATGTTTCTGTGGCCCTAAGTAACAATTTTCTGTGGCCCTAAGTAACGTTTCTGTAGCCCTAAGTAACAATTCTGTGTGGCCCTAAGTAACGTTTCTGTGGCCCTAAGTAACGTTTCTGTGTCCCTCAGTAACAATTCTGTATCCCTCAGTAACAATTCTGTGTCTGTCCCTGAGTAAC